GATTTTAATTTTGTTTTTGTAACAAAATAAAATCTATTTTTATTTATTTATTTTTATTTTATTTTGAGTTTGATTTTTATAATTAAACAAATTCTCTCATTTCCTTTATTTCTTTATATTCTGGTTGTTGTTTAGTACACAACAGAATTTAATTAATTTAAATACAGTGAAGACTGTCCAACATACATCTCTACTAGTTTTATTCTTATTATGTATACAGAGTTTTCTATTATTGAGTATTACAACCTAAACACCAAAACAACTCTTGGTGATTTGTGTAAGGATGTGTCTCTTGTGATGGTATGTAACATAACATGTTGCTTATATATATCTTCATAGAAAAGTGATTTTGATGTTATTATCTTACTTTTTTAAAAAGAAATAAAATTAAATTCTTCAATATGTTTTTAAAGTTGGAATCAGTTGTCTTCTTGTCCTAACAATTATTAGAAGGTGCTGCACCTTGGTTTGCTCCATTTGATCGATGCAACTCAAACTCCTTTTTCTGTTTCTTTTTTTTTTCCCTTTCAATTGGGTAAAAGAATTTAGTAGTTTTTGACATTTTATAACTAGGTTGGTTAAATTTTGAGAATGAAGTCAGTTCAGAGCTTGTACCGGGTTTTTTTGTTTATGTTTTTTCACAATGATTGTCGAGCCTTTGTAGATGACCAAAACTAAACCTCAATAGCAGTTACTTTCTCTAGTTTCCTGGATCTATCTCCAGAGAAATTTTGAATTTCTCTGACTTCGGAATTTTCCTGATTTCGGAATGTGTTTTAACCAAATTTCTCTGACTTCGAAATTTATCAAATGTGTTTTCATAATGTGTTTTAACCAAATTTCTCTGACTTCCAAATTTTTCACCAGAGAAATTCTGCTCTGAATTTATCTCCAGAGAAATTTTGAATTTCTCTGGAACTGATATTGATGAACAAAAGACAAGGGAAAAAAAAAGATGAGAGAGGCTGACTAGCACACACTGTAGTTCGGATCAACCAACGATGTATCGAACCAAGAGTAATCAGAAGCTCCAATTTAAGTGGAAATCCTTTATATGCAGGTCTTTGATTTCGAAGTCTTGTCAGAAGCTCTTGCTGGTATGGTGTTGATTTCATCATTAGGGTGTAACATTGCAAACCAGAAAGGTTGTCAGAACTTCCACCTTCATGTACGTCTATAAAACTGCTCGTCAAATTCCTCAACACATTCAGACCTTGCATTCTTTTATCTACAACGCTTGAATCGATCTTCTTTGCAATTTTATCAATGAAGAACTTTCTCGCTCTGTTTTCAAGCGAAAAGCGTGCTTTCTTCATGGTTGATTTGAAGGCCAAAGGGAGAGATTAGGGTTTGAAATTGGCCATTAGAGAGAGAGAGAGAGAGTGTGTGTGTGTGTGTGTGTGGTGGGATTGGAATAACAAAGGCAAATAAGATAAACAAAGAGTCAAATTCTCTCTGATATATGTTTAGGGACCTTAGACATCAAAAAATAAGTTTGTGGATCTCTTCCATTACGAAAAGTGGGAGAGGGACGCTAGACTAATTTTCCCTATATTTTTTGAAATTTATTTAAAATATGACTTGTTTTTTGTGATTTAAAAAATTGTATCATGTCTCTTGAAAATTTTAATTTCATAACAAATAACTCATTTTATTAATAAATTATCAAATCAATTAACAGTTTTCAATGATATTAGAAATTTATTTCAATTAATAATTCAAGTAATTTTAACTAAAAAATAAAATATTTAATGATATCAGAAATTCATTTCAATTAATAATGCAGGTAATTTTATCATTATATAAGAGAGCAATTAAAAATTTTATTTTTTAATCAATTCTATTAAATAAAAAATTCTAATAAAATATATTTATAATTTTTTAAACTGCATGATACAATTTATATTTTAAATAAGGGATTGTTTGGGATGTCCTAAATAAGTGTACTTTTTGACTAAAAAATTGAGGAAAAAAATATGATTGTTTGGAATAATTTTTTAATTTTTTATAAAAATTGTGTATTAAAAAATTATATAAATTAGTGTATAGAGAGGATTAGAATGGAATAGGCGGTACAGTGGGACGAATTCAGGATACCGTGGAGAGTGTAGCTTGGGATATGATTCCCAGCTTTTCGGACATTGAGTGATTTAAAAAATTGTATCATGTCTCTTGAAAATTTTAATTTCATAACAAATAACTCATTTTATTAATAAATTATCAAATCAATTAACAGTTTTCAATGATATTAGAAATTTATTTCAATTAATAATTCAAGTAATTTTAACTAAAAAATAAAATATTTAATGATATCAGAAATTCATTTCAATTAATAATGCAAGTAATTTTATCATTATATAAGAGAGCAATTAAAAATTTTATTTTTTAATCAATTCTATTAAATAAAAAATTCTAATAAAATATATTTATAATTTTTTAAACTGCATGATACAATTTATATTTTGAATAAGGGATTGTTTGGGGTGTCCTAAATAAGTGTACTTTTTGACTAAAAAATTGAGGAAAAAAATATGGTTGTTTGGAATAATTTTTTAATTTTTTATAAAAATTGTGTATTAAAAAATTATATAAATTAGTGTATAGAGAAGATTAGAATGGAATAGGCGGTACAGTTGGACGAATTCAGGATACCGTGGAGAGTGTAGCTTGGGATATGATTCCCAGCTTTTCGGACATTGAATTGGAGGTGTTATTCGGCCCGTGGGGGCCCACCACGGGTCCCATTTTTCTAATCAAAACCGTGCAATATGTAGAACTCGTTGAGTACTATATGTTTGTAAAAAATTATGTTAATCGGATATCGATAGCTATCTGATCGAATTAGTTTTTTTTTCAACCATTAACTATAACACTATCCATTTTATAAATTTTAATTGATTTGATCATATAGTTACCGATATTCGATCAACGTGATTTTTCATAAAAATATAGTACTCAAAGAGTTCTACATATTAAACGGTTCAGATTATTAAAACAAGACTCGTGATGGGCCCTTACAGGTCGAAGAGCACCGTGTTATTTGTGCATATAAATAAGTGTAATTTTTCCAAAGAGGCAGCTTCACCTGTGGGACGGCAGAGTTGTCTAAATTGTAATTATGTGTTAAATTAATTTTTCAATTTTTTTGATAAATAATAATATTTTTTTAACTTCTTAAATAATTTTTTAATTCTTTTACCTTTTTTAAAACATATCAAACTAGGCCTAAATATCAAGACACATTTGTAATTTATCTTATATTATTAATAATTAATTAATTAAAATTAAAAAAGTCTTTCGTTTTTACAATGTTGAAGTCGAGTCGTTCTCGCACGAAAACACTCTCTCTCTCCTAGCAGAAAATCACATATACAAGTGCCAAAGCCTCTCTCTCCTTCTCTCTCTATCTCTCTCTCTCTCTCTTCTCTCGTTTTTTCTCTTCCAAAATTCCAAGCCACAAACTACTTATAGCACTCTCTCTTTCTCTCTCATCGATCACAAAGGTATATATACAAATATATATATATTCATATCTATCTAGACATATATGTATGTATGTGTTTTGTGTGCTTATTTGATAGGTGTATATATATGTTGAATCCGATTGATTGATTGCTTTCTGTTTCATGTTTATGATTGTATCGCAGTTGTTTTAGTTTGGGGTTTATGCTTGCTTTGTTGATCTTCATCACAGTTTAATAGATTCTCTGTAGTTTTTTTTTTCGGTACTGTGTTAGTCTGATGATGTTTTGTTTAGGGGTTTTTTAAGTTCTTAATTGATTAGTATTGTTGTTTGTAATTTCAGAGGATTGATGCGTGGGACTGATTGCTGTGGCAAAGAGAATTTTGTGTTTTTATTTATGGGGAATACTGTTGTGGTGGGATTTCTATAGCAGTGATAAGTTTCCTATGTAGTGATATAATTAGGGTTTTTGTTTTGGTTTTATTTGATTTACTGTAGTTCAGAGAATTCAGTGTTTTCTAAATTTAGCGTTGTTATTACATATGTTGTTAGTGGGGAATTATAAGCTCTTTTGTTAGTTTTTTGATAACCCAATTCAGCATTTAAAACTGAATGTATTAAGTGAAAAATCAATTAAGTCCGTATTAATAATAACTGAAGTGACTCTTAAAATGTATGCTAAAAGTTAATAAAATTTTCAGTAAATACCAAACAACTTTTTAGATTAAAAAATTCAGTTTTTAGTTTTCAGTACTTAATTTTTAGCTTTATGTTTTCAAATTTTCAGTTTTATCAAACACCACCTCAGTTGTTCACTGAGTTGAATGTATATATTGAATTTGGTTCTTTATGAAACTAGATGTTCCTTTCATATAGCTTTGTGAAATTTTACCAAACTGAGGGTGTAAAATAGATTTGTCCGACTGGGTATGGGTCCAGCTAAATACTGTGAAATAGTTAGACATTATTTTTATATTCAAATAGTCATCCTCTTGATTTATTTTATACTTGTTTTGGTTTTAGCTTAAAACAAGATTTGTCGCGATCATAACCTTCTTGTTTGAATTTGTACAATATTGGCTGAGTTTGTCCTATAAACTTTGATCTTTATGCTTTTTGTTATTTGTTGTGGAGTTTCCTTTTCTGCAAACTGTAGTAATTGAGATTATGAAACAAAAGGTAATATTATGTTGTTTTATGTTGTGTGTATGCCTATTTAATATGCATCTTAAAGTTAGTGTGTTCATGGAATTTCAAACAAATTGTTGGTTTGAATTTCAAACAAGTTAGTGTCTTATTACTGATGTGTTTCAGCTGTTTCTGTGTATATCTGTGCTGATTCAATCTTATACTTTTCTCAGATGCCCTTTCACATGTTATTTGATATTTATTGATGATTTTTGAGTCAGTCCTAATTTTAAAAGCAGTTTCTTTTGGGCTTTAAGTATGACATTGTTTACCTTTGATCTATAGAATGTCCTTGTGTTATGCCAAGCATTTTTCATCTAATAGAATTTCCTTTTCTTATGCCAAACAGAGGGAACATGATGATTAAATTGCTGATAGCTTCTGGTGGATAATAGAGATAACTGAATAGAAATGGGAGGCTGTTGCTGCTGCTGTTCTAAAGAAGGTGGACTGAACAGTTCGCCACCATTCTATCATGTCAGTAATATCTCTCCCTTACACAGGATTATTTTAGTTTTTTGGTATCCACTGATCCTAACCTTTATAGCTTTAGCAGAATTTTGTGCCCGGCATAATCCTGGTTTACGTGGCATAGTTGTTTTGCATATAGGGTGAAACATCATTTTGCTATCTAGAATTTATTCTATTTTTGGATTCAGCTACTTAATGAGATAATAGGGAACTCGAATTTCTTACTTTAATGTCATTTGCCAGTGGTTACTTGTATTGAAGTTAACTATGTGCTGCTTTTTTGCTTTTTTAATCAGTAATGGTATAGTTCAGACCTAATTTTATTAGGTTTTGGTGCAGAAACTGCAATTTTGTTTCCATATGCAAGCTCTTGTCAGCTAGAAGATATTGGGGATCTTTTGTTGCTTTTGAAGTTGGGAATTCGAGGCTTTTCCCAAGTCTAGAGTGAACTAGATTTGCTATAAACTATTTGAAGAACTTGGTGGACATGTTCATTCATTTTCCTTTTTCATCAATTGTGTTCTTTTTAATCTTTATTATCTCGGGTGCGCATACGTGATTGAAGAGTTGTCATGGTAACAACTCTAGTTGTGTTTTACACCATGACCATATGATGTAGCTGCAAACTGTTCATCAGATCCACTTTTTCACCATGTGATGTAGCTGCTAAGCTGCAAACTTTTCAGCATGATCATGGATCTTATGAGAATCTTCTTTATGTCTGTACTAAATGAGAATCCTTGGAGATGGGAAACTTGTATGTCTCTTTGCTGTGATGAGGGCTTTGATGAAGCACAAATAGAAGTTGAAGCACATAAAAGTTATTTGAAGAAAATGAATGTTGCCTTTTGCTTCATCTGAATAAATTGTTTGCAATTATTATATAAATTTGATGTTCATATTGAATATAGAAATTAGAGTACATAGAATCTTTTTATTTTTAGTATTATGTATGTAATCTGTGATTGTGTCAATCACTGATTTAGTATTGTTTTCTTATTTATATCATTTTCTAAATTGTATCATGAATCTATTATATATACATAGCCTCTACCTCATTTATGGGTAAGTCAAATAATTCTTTTTATTTTTTTTTGGTATTAGAGTTAGGTTAAGTGCCTAGTAATTTTGCTTCACCGGCGGGCGGCCAGCCAGGCTGTAGCCTTGCCTTGGCCGCTCGCCGAACCTTGACTCATTCCACTGTCATATTTTCTTTCAGTATTACTTCGTGGTGATCTCTTCCTCTATCCATTAGTTTATTTCTATTTCAAATATCTCTATCATATTTTTTTTACTTGCAATCCACTTTATCTTTCTTTCTATTTCAACCTCAAATAGGTTTTTATCTTTAAACCTATTTGAGTTTGAGGGGAATATTATACTTATACTATGTGAACCACCTAAACCGCTCCATCTAGCGCACAACCCAAGTCGCCCCTTCTAGTGCACCACCTAAGTCGCCCCCTTGGCGCACCACCTAAGCCGCCCCCCTCTGACGCACAACTAAATTCGCCCCCCTCTAGAGTACCACCAAAGCTGCCCCCCTCTAGAGTACCACCAAAGCTGCCTCCAGGCGCACTTTCTAATAAGCTGTCCCTTGGCGCACTCAGTCATCTATTATCATTATCGTTCAACACCACATCATAAGTTATGTGTGTGCCATGCTTGTTGGATCAACATCAAGTTCTCTACATTGATCTGGCATGACCCCTTTAAACTGTTTCAATATTAATTCCGATTAGTCTCTACAACGGTTCGACATGACCCCTTTAAACTGTCTCCACATTAATTCTGGTTAGCCTCTATAACGGTCTGACATGACCCCTTAAATTGTCCCGACATTGATTCCGGTTGGTTCCTACAAAGGTCTGGCATGACCCCGTAAACTGTCTCAATATTGATTCTGGTCAGTTCGTACAATGGTCCAGCATGACCTTAAACTGTCTCGACATTAGTTCCGAGTAGTTTCTACAATAGTCCAGCACGACCATAAATTATCTCCCAGCATTAGCTCCGGCCTCTGATACCGACCAGGGTCTTGTTGGCTGTCAACCAGGATGTTTCCTAGCCATAGATGCTTCAGCAGCTCTTCTAGGGCAGTTCAGTCTTTTTTTTTTTTAGTATGGGGTGCTGATCTTTTTAGTACTTTTTGGTTTGTTTTATTTAGTGGACTACCAGATTTATTCGGTAGCATTTGTTTGGACTAGTCGTTGAGTTTTTTTCGGCTTCTTCCAGTCATTCATTGGCAAGCTGCGATTGCTGAATATCTTCACATCAGTTTGAGGGGGAGTGTTGAATATAGAAATTAGAGTATATAGAATTTTTTTATTTTTTAGTATTATGTATATGATCTGTGATTGTGTCAATCACTGATTTAGTATTTTTTCCTTATTTATATCGTTTCTTAAATTGTATTATGAATCTATTATATATACGTGGGCTCTACCTCATTCATGGGTAACCCAAATAATTCTTTTGATTCTTTTGTTCATGCCTGGGAAGTTTATCACGTGGTGACCTATGGGTTACAGTCTTAGAAGAAGTGGTGTTTGAAATGGTGATTGAGCCAGAAGTGGAGACTAAAATTATGGTTTCAATAAAGGGTCTAATGTTATCATATAATTCGTTTGTGCCTTTTTAGTTTTCTTTGTTTTATGCTCCTAATGTTTTGGGGCATCTGGACAATAATATACCTGCTAATCTGATGCTCACCCTGGCTGATGTTTGCATATAGTGTCTTCCTACATTTTTTAGTTTTCTTTGTCCCATTGGACTGTCACCACTAGGCAAGTTGATGGAAATTTTGGCGCCAATTTACAAGGATGACTCAATATCATTTTAGTCTCCAACGGCTAGAGACAATTATAGCTAATCAAGGAAATTGGTATATACATTATCATTGTGGTGTAAGTTGTTAAAGAAGATGAAGTGCTTGTGTTTCTTTGGTACCAGAGTTTGGGGATTATGATGCTGCGACTAAAGTGTGTTTGTTTTTCCTCTGGTGCTAGAATATCAAAGCAAGTGGAAGCATTTCAGTTCGTTAAGGGTAGTTTTTTTTATGGGCTTATTTAAATAAGTTTTGGAAATTTGTATTGCAGTTGTATCGTAAATTGTCAGAATTCTGGTGCTTAATTCATTTTCGGAGTGGTTATTAACAGTGTAATCAGCTGACTCTTGAGCAATTGGGACATGGGGTAAAAAATGGTGCTATCCAGTGCAACAAATATAATAACATGGTTAAATCCCTTGCTGGTTAGGTATTTCCAGAATATATTGATAGTAGTGGAATTATACGCGGTGATGTTTGAAGTATCAATTAACATCTCTTGAAATTGATTATACAATTTTGCTATTTTGGGCAATTAACTCATTTGTCTTGTTGAGTATAAAATTTGATATGCCAGTGTTTTTGTTTTCAGATCAAACATGAAAAAGTACCCTTCAGAAACAGATGGCCATGTGAATGAACAGTATTTTAGAAGCTGAAGTTTAATAACTTTTCTTACATATTTTGTTCAGTGGAGGCACCTTTTCTGTATTGCTGTTCTGATATTTATATGTAAAGTCATGCTTCGAGAACTGGCTTCAAGCGGGTTTTGCCATTTTGCTTGGGTGAACCTACTTAAACCTGTAAAAAAACCTGGTTCATCCTGGCTTTTAACTTCTCTTTCATTGTTGATTTTAAATGGACTCAAATCATATTTATGAACCTCATGATGCAATGAGAATTGTTTTTACTGACATGCATGTTAAATTGTTGTTACTCAAGTCATTTTATTGTGTTAATTCTTTTGGTGTTTTGTTCAACTCTCGTCCACTTCATTCTGCAGTATCCAAGAGTGTTGGAGGAGCACGAGCCTTTGTCAGCTCACCATGGCACAGTCTCTGCACTTTCTACTGGGCTCTTAGTTGACACAAATCTGGAAACTTCAATTCCCGACACTTATAGACCACCTCCAGCACCTTTGCCATATGATGCAAATCTTAGACATCCTCGAACTCCACCAAGCAATCAAGAAAGTTGTGGCAACAAGAATGATGCTGCAGTGCATACAACAGATACTGAATCTGCAGAAGAAACAAATGCTGGCAACACCATGGAAACATCGGATAAGGACCTCAAGGGATCCGACTGCAAAATGCAAACGGATACTGAACTTGACCCATCAAAGGATCTGGAGGTTGAACTTGAGAAGTCCGGTGAACTTAAAAAGTCCGGTGAACAAGAAGAAGAGGATGTTTGTCCAACCTGTCTTGAAGGTAATGAGATTAATGTGCCATTTGAAAATGTTTGCTGCATATTCTGGCGTTTAGTACAAAAAGAAATGAAACTCAACAAAAAATGTTTTCCGTGGTTAATGGAAAATAAGCCTATCTAGGTGGAAAATGTTTTCCACCTTTTTTAAAAAGTAGAAAATGTTTTTGGATTAAAATCTTACCGATGTCACCATACCGACACCACCAGCTCCACCCCACCGTACCACCCCCACCAGTAATACAACTATTAATACATTAGTTTTAAAAAAGATACAACCAAACATAGAAGAACGTTTTCTCCGGAAAATATTTTTTGAAAAAAGTTTTCCATAAAAAATGTTTTCCGTTGAAAAATACTTTTCCACCAAAACAGAGTGTGAGGAATTAATCCCTATTTTTCAGTGCTTTTTGTCAACTCATTGCCGTTTTTCACTCTTCCTTGACCTCTTTTTGCAATTTTAGCTGGAGTTAGTGTGCTAAGTTGTGTTTGTACTTGAAAAGTTGCATATAACATTTTGCTCCGCACTGCAGAGTATGATGCTGAGAATCCAAAAATTATCACAAAATGTGAGCACCATTTTCACCTTTCATGCATTCTTGAATGGATGGAAAGGAGCGATACCTGTCCTGTATGCGATCAGGTGCCTCAAATTACTTCTTTTATTCATGCTGTGATCATACAAGAGTGCAACATTGTTAACTAGTGTACCTGTTACTGCATATATGTTGATGCAAGGGTTTATGCTTCTTTTTCATGCAGGAAATGATATTTGATCCCACCCTTGATGGCTAACTATCTGTTACTCTTCAAATTTCGTTCGAGTTCTTACCGTTTTGCAATTGAAGTTATGATTGGGTGAAAATTGTCGGTTTTTTTAGCTATCAGTGCTCAGCTTTGGCCATAGAGTGATCATTTTGTTTCTGAAGGAGATGTATCTCATAATGCCGAGCATCATTGTGTGTTCATTTTCTTGAACTCGGAAAAATATATGACAGAGAAGGGGAAGCAAATAATTCAAGGTAGATCAACACAAAAATTCCCTAGGTTCATTTTCTGTTCTGTTTTTTGTATATTTTTTGTTTTCGGTTTTTTGTTTTCTGTATATTCGTCCTCAATTTTTAGACAAGCAGATTATAGGTGACACAATTGAAGAGTTGCATAAAGGGTTTCCAGCAAGATACTTAAACATAGTGTTTTCTTTTCTCAAGTTTCGATTGTTTGCCCCGTGGTGCTCTATTTGAATGTGATTGATTTGTAAAGTGGAACCATCATATTTATATTGTTGTTTGCCTAACAATATCGGGTGGCAATTGATGATACAATGGCTGGTCATCGTGACCTCCCGGCCATCCTATGACTTATGTTGACACTTCGATCTTTGCTGGTGGTCAGATCATCTGTTCATCCTCTACCATTCCACCACCCCTGGCAACTCAAAAATACATTTAATCCAACTCAAGAATATATGTATATATATTATTTTTTTTTCTCAACAAATTTTCTATTTAAATTTAAGATTTTAATAATCTTAAAACTTTTTATTTTTATTTTTTACATGATGGAGCAATTCTCCACTTCACTTGAATAATTGAGAAAAAGATAAAGCCTAAAGCAATGGATTTGCTTCATTAAATCTCTCTTTCTTTGGATCCTCGAATTGAAACTTTCGTGGGTTGTAGCTCTTTCAGATGAATAAAACAAAAATAATAGAAATAGGAAAGGAAGAAAAAAAATTATATACAAAACATAGCAAAGAGCCTTTAAAGTAACATGAATGAATGATTGTAAAATTTAAGGTAATCTATCATTTGGTGTCTCTAATTTTTCTTTTATCCTTTATATCATCCTCTACTTTAAAAATGTTAATGAGTATTCAAAAATATTGTTTAATATTGATATTTTTATTTTAAAAAATGTTCTAATTATTGTAAAATAACACCCAGGACACTTGTTTTATGATAAATTTTAATCTTTTAATTTTTATTTCAAGAGAAACTCAAATGTATCTACAAAAATTTCAAGATCATCTACAATTCCTTTACTTTGCAACATTATAGTCTTAATTTTTAGTACGATACTTCTTCTATGTTTAAGACAATAAAAAATAAAAAAATAAATAGTACAGAGCAATTAAAATTGCCCTCTCTTTACGACTAATGCCTCGTTTTGAAACATGCTACCTTAGCAATTTGTTTAAATTTTTTTGACTAAAATATGAGGTAAAAAAATTAAACAAGATGATTATAACATAAATAGGATAATGTGGTAAAAGTATGAGGTAAAAGTGATGTGGTAGAGGGGTGATGTAACTTAAATAAAATGATTATAACCTAAATAGGATAATGTACTAAAATAGCACATGCCAAACAACCACTTAGTATGTTTGGAATAACTTTTAGTTTTTTATGAACAGATATGCAAAAAATAGAGAGAAAATAAAATCTTTGATATTTTTGTATAAGTTGTTGACTTTTTAATTTTTTTAATGACTTTTTAACTTTTAAAATAAAAAATTGAGTTGTCAAGCGAGACCTTTAATAATGCAAATCTAGGACAGATATGACTTAATAAATTCTCCCAATTTGATTGTCACTTTTAATAATTAATGCCGAACGCATCAGTTGGGTTCGAATTCAATTAACCACTCCCATTATGCTAATTATATAATTGTTTTACAACCATAGCAGGAGCTTGGCCATCCTTTTCTCTATAATAGTCATGACGTCGTTGTTGCTGGAAACTAAGATCCGTTTGATAAATGATTTTTTTAAGTAGTTTTTAGATTAAGATTTGTGATAATAAATAAATAAATAAATAAAACTCAATATAATTGGAAAAAAAAACTTTTTTATTTTTAACAGAAAAACATATTAAAAAATAGTGTAAATGAGTATAAATCTCTAACTTTATAGAGGGAATATGAATGAATATTTAACTTTTTTGTATGAGTTAATTTTTTTTAATATATTAAAAAATAATGTAACTGAGTATGAATCTCTAATTTTATAGAGTGAATAAGAATGAATTTTTAAGTTTTGTTTGGTATGTAGATTAGTTTTTTAATTTTTTAGTTATTTTTTAGAACTAAAAAGTCTTATTTGGGATTGATTTTTTTTATTTTTTTAACTTTTGTGAATGATTAATACTTTAGATATAACATTTTATCTCATTGATTTTAATTGATTTTACCTTTTTATAACTATTTTAATAAAAAAAAATCCAAAAAAATCATATGTCAAAGGCTTAACTTTTGTATGAGTTTATTTTATTTTATTTTATTTTTCATTTTTTTACTTTTTAGCTAAAATAATTACTTATCAAATGCCTATGGCAACACTGACCAAACGACACCGTATCAATATGATTACTGCATAATCGGCTCACATCACAGTCCACATTTCACTCATTGATGTCTGAACCGCCTCTCTTCTACTCATTTCTCTCTCCTCACATACGTACATATATATATATATATATACACACAGACCCACAATTACATATAAATATATATATATATATATATACTCTGTTTCACTTCCAAACCCAAAGAAATCAAAAGAAAAATTAGCCACCATGTCTTCCCCAAGCAAACGCAGAGAGATGGATTTGATGAAACTGTAAATCTCCATTTTTTTTTCTTCTATTTAAATTATTATTTTTTTGATTTTTTGTTTTTTAATTGTTGGGTTTTGATTGTTGTGAAATAGGATGATGAGTGACTATAAGGTGGAGACGATCAATGATGGTATGCAAGAGTTTTATGTGGATTTTCATGGACCCAAAGACAGTAAATCATCTATACTCATCTCTGATTTTTTTTTTCTTCTAATTTTATATTTTTTTTATTGATCTATGTGTATCTATCTGTATTTGAAGTACATATGGTGTTCCCTTTGTGGGTTTATGATATTTTACACTCATTGTATTGTTCAGCTGAGTTATCTTTATATTGGCTCCCAAGTTGTAGATTTGCCCCTAATTTAGCTAAAAGATAATCTGAGTTGTGAGACTTCACTATGGCATTGAGTTAGACCTTTGTAGCCCTTTGTTTTAATCATAGATTGATGCCAAAACCTCTACACTTATTTGTCATTCTGATGATTTAGGGGTAAATTTGTGTTTAGCTTTCTTTTATTTTATTTTATTTTCTTGTAGAATCACTTGTAAATCTTTTTTGACTGTGTTGTTTGTTGTTAAAAGAGCTGCAAGATTGTTGTTCGCTGATTTTCCTCTATGAGGACAAAGTATTTTGATAGATTGCTTCTCCAAAACTGATACGCATTCTGCTTAACAAAATTACATAAGAAAGTACATTTTAAGAAGCTTAAAAAGATTACAGGTTAAGAAGCTTAAAAGATTGTAAATTCTGCATGAAAGTGCATGTAATAAAGAATAGACAATCTTTTTAAGTCATCTTAACATGTGCCCTAAGGGCACACGTTAATACTTTGGCTAGTACATACTACAACAACACTCTACCCTTGAAATTGGTTTGCCTAGCTTCTGATGCTCTCCAAATGTAGGTAGCCAAGGGGAGGATGAGGCAAAATGCTTACCGTGTTGCCTATCCTGTTGGAGTTCCATTATGTAATGGAGCTCGGCAAAATGCCTAAAAATGCCCTAAATGCCTCTCTTGTTGGAGATGCTTTCAATTTTAAGCAGAAAGGGCTTTTTCATTCTTTTTGGTTTCTTCCGTTTTCTGGTTTATTGCAGGTCCTTATCAAGGAGGTGTGTGGAGGGTCAAGGTGGAGCTTCCTCATGCTTATCCTTATAAATCTCCTTCTATTGGTTTTGTCAACAAGATTTACCACCCTAATATTGATGAGATGTGAGTTAATGCACTTCAAAAACTCAGTATTCCATCTTGTTTGCTTAACATCGCATAGTGGTGTTGCTTATGATTCATAACTTGTGATTTTGAAATATTGGTTGTGTCACATTCTCTGTGGTTTTTTGGAGATTCAGGTCAGGCGCAGTTTGTTTAGATGTAATTAACCAGACATGGAGTCCCATGTTCGGTAAGATTGCCTCCCACCATTTTACAATATATGAATGTGGTTTTGATAGAGCTGCAAAATAAATAAATGTGATTGTATGCCTGCTTCATCTGCATATTCTTTCTTATTCTGTGGGTGTGCTGATGGTTTCATTCAACAGTTAATTATTTTCTTATGTTGAAACTTTATTTTTCTTTCCCTCTAGATCTGGTGAATGTTTTTGAAGTGTTTCTACCTCAGCTTCTTCTGTATCCCAACCCATCAGATCCACTTAATGGAGAGGCTGCTGCTCTGATGATGCGGGACCGAACTGCTTATGATCAAAGAGTGAAAGGTAGTGTCTTCCTTGACTTTTATCCTCCTTGATACATGCTTGCCATTAATGGCGAACACAATGTACCATCACAAACTTCCAGCAGTTTTATTCTGCCTTCAGAGTTTTATATATATGTATATATATATGGTGCATGCTTATTGCAGTAACTTTAGAGGAGTTTGGAGATAAATGCACCCTTCGATTATTGAAGTTAATGAGCCCATGAGGATAACGATATATATTTTGTTTTATTATTTGTGTGCTGTAGAATCATTGAATGCGCGTTGGTTGTGCTAATGTGGCCTCTTCCAACTGTATGCTTTACAAGCTTTGGTTGCTCTGGTTGTGCTAATGTCGTTTGTGTAAGCTTTTGTAGTTTATGTAATTTTGAATTAAGTAGGAAAAAAAAAAATCTGGTTTGAATGACTGAATATGGCTTCTAAACAAAGTTTTTTTTAAAAAAATTTGGTCTCTATATTGCTTAATTTAGTTCAAATGACATGCAAGTTGGGTTTTAGTCCTTTACCCTTCAGGTTCCAGCTCCAAATCTGCCAACATTCGTTCATTTTGCATCTAGGACTTTTATATCTTTCGTGGCTTTAAACTAATATGCCTTCTATATTATAATCCTTTTGAGTAGAGAACTTTTGGTCCATTTGATTTGGTGCTCTATTAAATGGATATGTGAACCAAAGTTGTTAGCTATATTGAGGAATTGAATCATCTATGTGCTGGGTTTGCATGTGAGAGTGATGTCACTCTGTAAAGGTCAGTAATACACATTATCAAAATTGAGAGCCTTCGTTCATTTAAAAAGTACAATAAATTAGTATATAATTTCTACCCTTATTGGGCATTTGGGTTCACTTTGATGGGTGCTTAGAGGCAGGGCAAGAGGTAATTTACATGAGTTATTTGATAGAAACCATGCACTAAAGTCAGCTAATTTTCCAGCAAAACTATTAGAATCAAGAAAATGTGTGGTTGTTGGAGGAAGAGGGCCTAGTCTTCTTTACATAAAATGTTGATGATGTTTAAAACTACTATAATCACCATAGTGTTCAACTAATGAGTCATACTATGATATTATAGGAGAGAGTCCCAGAGCAAAGAATATCAAGAAACAATTTGGTTTTGATAATAAAGCTATATAATCTACTTAGGTGAGTACTAAGAATTTTTTAGAGAGAGAAGAAAGACTTCCTATGGTATTCTAATGACTTGGGAATTGTGCATGTTGGGTTTCCAAGAGAGCTATTGTGCTGAAACTCAGGAAAGAATACAGTATGAATAAGATTTATGTTTGTAAGCATGTACTTGATCGAGCATGAGAACTTATCGAGCATGAGAACATAGAGAGATGACATGGGATTACATCAGGCATAATCAACATTGAACCTTTGCTTAATGGTATTAGCTTTGAAAAAACTTGCAAGACATCACATACATTTGAAAATGGGGGATTTGGTGATAGCCCCCTCACTATCTAATTTGTCTTTCAAAAGAATAAGAATTATATAAGTACTTTCAAAACCTCCTAATATTTTAAAACTTGTTTCTTTTACTATATTACCTTCATATCTATCAGCTCTCCTATTAAGCCATCTTCACTGTGTATTTCAGAATAAAATTTTACTTTGTATGAAAGTAAAATTTTACTCTGAAAAACTAGTAAAATGTTAGACTCTACACAAAAGTAAAATTTTACTCTGTATAAAAGTAAAATTTTACTCTGAAAAACGAGTAAACTGTGAGACTCTGAAGCTAAAAGTAAAATATTACTCTGCACAAAAGTAAAAAAACGAAGGCAGTGTTTGTGGCGGCTGAAGTGTGTGGCAATGACCACCTCTTGACAGTAAAATTTTACCGTCATTCTAACACCAGAGTAAAATTTTACTCTCATTATCTGAAACAAAAAACAGAGCAATTTACTCTGGTTCTGTCAAATAAAATTAGATCAAAAACAACAAAAATAAATCAAAAACAAACAAACAAACAAAAACAAAACAAATTAATCAATAAGTCAACATATCTAATTGAGAAGAAAAACTTTTAAAACTCGATCAACAATTACAAATCTCAATGAAAAGAATACATGTGTTCAATAACACTCATACACACAAATATATATATATACATATATTCAAAACTCAAACCTGTGTTTAAAAAAATATGTATAACCAAACAACTCCACCAAACATGCCTCAATTTGGAGACGATTTGTTTTTCCTCGTAGACGATCTCCTTTGATTCCGGCACTGGAAGACAATTTTCCGGCCTGTAGTTGATTTCATTCCCGATGTTCTTGATGAGTTCATCGTAGAGATCAGTTTCGGCATTGTTGATCGCCGGAGTTTCGCCTGATAACTGACCGGACTTGGCTAGGAGAGTGATGATGATGACGTTGCTATCATCGCCGGAGAAGAAGTTACCAAAATTGTCAAGAAACAGAGCTTCAGATCTGGAAGGAGGAGCACGTCGGCGGAGAACAAAGTCAGAAGGGAAAGAGGAAGGATTTAGTTGAGGGTATAATAGTCTAATAAAATATTTAAATAATAAATTTTGTCCTTTATGCAAGACTTTATAATTATGAGGGGGGTTTAGAAAGTATAATTTTTTTCTTAATACTTTTAACAATGAAAAGAAGGTAAAGAGAGTTTATAGCTAAATTTCCCTTTGAAAATAACTTGGAATTTGGAGTGGCGCTTTAAAATTCAAAATTTTAGGTTCACAAGGACAAAGATAGAAGATGGGGTTCAGAAACCAAACTAAAATTCAGGAATTGCGAGCTTTTGTGGCAATTGTGAGTTTTTGTGGCTGTGAGACCGAAAACCAAATGAAGTTCTTTTGAGTTGTCATGTGTTTGTTGAATACCAATAACCCTAATGATTTTACAAAAATGTGACCCAACTCAGCTAACGGTACAAAATGAGGATATCTGGTAGTAGAATTTTGAGATAGATAAGTGGCTGACAAGAAAGTAGGATGTAGGAGTGCATTTTCATTCAGTAGAGATAGTACGTATGGCACAAGATGAGAGAAAGTCAACCAAGTTGGTTTGGTTATTTGCAATGAAGACCAATTATTGTACCAATGGTTGGTATGATTAAACTAAAAACATCTGTTGAAAAGTGGAATCATTACGCCTTTATCTGACTCCAAAGTTCTCTGTATTGGTAGTTAAGATATAATGTTTCTTTGTTGTCACGTTTCATAGAAAAGCTATTTGTTGTTCATCTATTACACTAGAAATCAGATCCATCAAAAAAAGAAAAACTAGAAATCAGAAAATTTTAGATATGAGTAGTCAAGCAGAGTTCGAATTAATTGAGCTTGTATTTTATTTATTTATTTTTAATTCAGTATTTTTGCTTATGTTGACTTCATATTTTTATAGCAAATATTATTTTGTCTGATATTAAGAACAATACTTAAATAAGTAGTAAAAGAAGAGGAGATAAAGCCTACAACAGATACAATTTCCCCCCAAATTTTAGCTCATGGGGTAGGTTCTGAAAAAATAAAATTTTCTGGTAAATTAAGTTCTTTTGTCCTTGGGAATGAGAAGTTCAATGATTTCATATTTGAAGGCCCTGTTTCACTTGGACTTCAGATCATTCATGCTTGATACCGTTGAATGGCTTGACTAGTTGGGAAGCCGTACTTTTTCAATTCATGTTTTTGCATGACTAGGTTAGGGGAGTTTTTCGCATTTAGTCTCCATTTGCATTCTTTATTCTTCGTATGTATGGATATTTGTATCTCCACAAGACAAGATTACACGTGAGGGAGAGAATCTGAGAGAGCTTGCCCATTCCCGGCTAGTATTTGAATTGTGAGATAATGTACTACTTGTCTATTATTTTTTGCTCACTACTCCTTTTTTGTTTTTAGAGTATTGCGAGAAATACGCAAAACCAGAAGATGCAGGGGCTGCACCGGAGGAGAAATCTAGCGATGAGGAGCTGACAGAGGATGAATATGCATCCAGTGACGATGCGGTCGCTGGCGAAGCTGATCCTTAGGGGCATGACATTACCCTTCAATTGTCTGTATCTGTACATGATAATCCATCTCTTGATAATAATAAACCTAGCCCTGTATGAGTCTCAATTGCTTGAAAAATCTACTTCAAATTTGTATTTGATTTATTTCATCCCTAGTTACAAAAAAATTGTTGGGACTAAATCAGTTTGATTCAAATTAAAAAAACTTTCATGTGATTTTGTGTGGAAGTCATAAATTATAACTTTGTTGATAGTATGCTCTGCTAAGACCAAGAAAAAAAAAGAAAAACAAAAAGGACAACAATGTGTTTCGATTGGTGTTTTTAAAAATATTTTTTGAGTTTTCAATCTATATATTTTTTATTTTTAGTAAATTTTTTACACATTTTAATTTTAAAATTTTACTTTTTAGATTCATTTAATCTAAATATATTTTAAAAATACAAAATTTGTAGAATATATATTTTTAAATTATTAAATACAACAAAATAAAATAAATTTTTTAATTTTTTTTAATTTTTTTTACACAAATTATATATTTTTTTAAGTGTACTCAGATTAAATAAATCTTTAAAAACAAGTTACTAAAAACAAAAACATGCAAATTAAAAAAATTTAAAACTATTTTTTAAAAGTTCCAAACCAAATGGAGTTCTGTTCCACAAAGCCAACCAATCAAGAAGTGGAGTCATCTAAATTTTTATTTTTATTTTTTTGGATTCTAAAAACAAGATATGAGGAAATGGGCCAGTTCATATCTTTCTAGGACTTTGGGCTATTTCTAATCAGTTTAATATGTAATACGTGGGCCAAAGGCCCATATGATATCAAATTAATTTTGAGAAATTTAGCTATAAACTCCTTTTACCTTCTTTTTATTGTTAAAAGGACTAAGAAAAAAATTATACTTTTTCAACCCCCTCATAATTATAAAGTCTTTCCTAAAGGACAAAATTTATTATTTAAATATTTTATATGACTATTATACCCTTAACTAATTCTTCTCACTCTCTTCCTCACCCTCTTATACTTGATTGGTTCGAGTTAACCCACTGTTTTGCAGTCTTCATTATCGGAAAGGCGGTGGAATAAGAATCTGATTTTCATGTTCATCGTTGTCAGGAGCTTTTCATACTCGTCCAAATACGCAGGCCACTCTATGCTAAACTTTCTTTTTGCTTTTGATAATTTCTCGAGAAACAAACAAGCCAAATATACAAAGCACCAACCAGATCAAGAGCTTTATATATATATATATACTTCCGAAATTGAACTTAAATAGACCTTGAAAGTATAATTCTCTCTTTTCCTTCTCTCTTCCATTCCTAGGGTTTGGATTAAATTCGTTCAGAGCTCTCGTGATTTCAACCAAACTGTGAATATATCTCTATATATATGTGTGTGTTTGTGTGTTTTGAGATTTGAATTGTTTGTGTGTTTTGAGATTTGAATTCAAATATATATATATATATATATATCTACATATTCCGACCTCTAATCTATATATATGTGTGTTTTGAGTCTTTAAGATCGCAGATTTGAATGATTGCATAGATCGGTCTAGGCGATCATTTGATTCGAACTCAAAAGCTCAAAGATGTAAAGTAAAATCTGAAAAATCTGTGTATGAAAAATCTCAAGATGTTTGAAAGCTCAAAGTTTCAAAAATCTGAAAAATCTGTAAAATCTGAAGAACCAAGGTATGAAAAATTGAGATTTCTCTAAAATTTTCAGATTATAGGCCTGATTCAAGGATTATAGGCATGATTCAATGTTTGTCAAAGTAAACATCGATTGATTCAAGGATTATAGGCCTAATTCAAAGCTCATAGCTCAAAGTTCCATCGATTTTTCAGAGTAAATATCAAATTTCAAAAGTATAATTCTCTCTTTTCCTTCTCTCTTCCATTCCTAGGGTTTGGATTGAATTCGTTCGGAGCTCTCGTGATTTCAACCAAAACTGTGAATATATCTCTATATATATGTGTGTGTTTGTGTGTTTTGAGATTTGAATTGTTTGTGTGTTTTGAGATTTGAGTTCGAATATATATATATATATATCTACATACTCCGATCTCTAATATATATATATGTGTGTTTTGAGTCTTTAAGATCGCAGATTTGAATGATTGCATAGATCGGTCTCGGCGATCATTTGATTCGAACTCAAAAGCTCAAAGATGTAAAGTAAAATCTGAAAAATCTGTGTATGAAAAATCTCAAGATGTTTGAAAGCTCAAAGTTTCAAAAATCTGAAAAATCTGTAAAATCTGAAGAATCGGGATATGAAAAATTGATATTTCTCTAAAATTTTCAGATTATAGGCCTGATTCAAGGATTATAGGCATGATTCAATGTTTTTCAAAGTAAACATCGATTGGTTCAAGGATTATAGGCCTGATTCAAAGCTCATAGCTCAAAGTTCCATCGATTTTTCAGAGTAAACATCAAATTTCATTTGATAGAACCAGAGTAAAATTTTACTCTGGTTCTATTGCTCTGTTTTTTTCATTTGACAGAAGCAGAGTAAAATTTTACTTTTATACAGAGTAAAATTTTACTTTTAGCTTCAAAGTCTTACAATTTACTTATTTTTCAGAGTAAAATTTTACTTTTATACAGAGTAAAATTTTACTTTTGGTTTCAAAGTGTAAACTTTTACTTTCATACAGAGTAAAATTTTACTTTCATTCAGAGTAAAATTTTACTTGCATAAGTAAAATTTTACTTTCATACAGAGTAAAATTTTACTTGCATACAGAGTAAAATTTACTTTCATACAGAGTAAAATTTTACTTTCATTTAGAGTAAAATTTTACTTTCATACAGAGTAAAATTTTACTCTAAAATACATAGTGAAAATGTCTTAATAGGAGAGCTGATAGATATGAGGTTAATATAGTAAAAGAAACAAGTTTTAAAATATCAGGGGATTTTAAAAGTACTTATATAATTCTTGTCATTTTGAAAGAGAAATTAGATAGTGAGGGGCTATGACCAAATCCCCCATTAATTTTTGTGTCAAGGGGAGGGCCCACCACAGTAGGTTGCTATTGGGCCTTTAAGCGTCGCCCATGTGTTGCACAACAGAATGGGTCTGGCGCATCCTACCAAATCTAGTCTTGAATAATCAGTTGGGCCATTCTATTTGAATCTAAATTCAATTCAAATTTTAAAATCTTAATTCATATTATATCCTAATATAAATTTATTAATAAAGACAACATATATTAAACATTAAAATAAAATATTATTATTTTTATCATATTACACCCTAATCAATTATACGTATTCTTTCTATTTAAATCTCTTCATCTTTTTTTCAAAATTTCAATTATTCTCTCTTTTCTTCTTTCACTTCAAAACTCTAATTCATCTCACAAAAACTCACCATTATTATCAACATCATTGTTTTTTTATTATATTGTTATTTGCAAACTCACCATCTCTTCATCAACATCATTGTTTTTTTATTATATTGTTATTTGCAAATAGAAGAAAATTTGAACAAAATCAATGAATGAATGAAAATAATAATAAAAACACTTTTTTGAAACAACCCATTAAAGTGGAGGTTTCACATAAATATCAAAGTACAATTATTGAATTATGTGTTTTTTTTTAATACATAAAATTGAATATTCAGCCTGTTTTTTGTTATTATTGTTCGGTTCTAAAAGTTCAAACAAAATTCATTTTGTTCGGTTTTGAAAGTTCAAACAAAATTCAAATTTTAAAATCTTAATTCATATTATATCCTAATATAAATTTATTAATAAAGACAACATGTATTAAACATTAAAATAAAATATTATTATTTTTATCACATTACACCCTAATCAATTATACGTATTCTTTCTATTTAAATCTCTTCATCTTTTTTTCAAAGTTTCAATTATTCTCTCTTTTCTTCTTTCACTTCAAAACTCTAATTCATCTCACAAAAACTCACCATTATTATCAACATCATTGTTTTTTTATTATATTGTTATTTGCAAACTCACCATCTCTTCATCAACATCATTGTTTTTTTATTATATTGTTATTTGCAAATAGAAGAAAGTTTGAACAAAATCAATGAATGAATGAAAATAATAATAAAAACACTTTTTTGAAACAACCTATTAAAGTAGAGGTTTCACATAAATATCAAAGTACAATTATTGAATTATGTGTTTTTTTTTTAATACATAAAATTGAATATTCAGCCTGCTTTTTGTTATTATTGTTCGGTTCTAGAAGTTCAAACAAAATTCATTTTGTTCGGTTTTGAAAGTTTGAACAATAATGACAAAAAACAGATTGAATATTCATCGTTCTCCTTCGCCGTTCTCCTTTTCCTTCGCTGTCCTCCTTCACCAGTGCCAAATTTCCTCATCATCCTCCTTCGCTGAATGATTTTTGAAAAGTAATGAGGATTTTTTTTTATTTGGGTGTACCTCGAAAGGGTAATTTGGGCAAAAAAATAAGATGTACTAAGAATAAATTGTAACCTTAAATAATTTAATACGGTGTACTGAAAAATTGGCACACTTAAACAATTTTTGGGTGTAAATAGAATCTTCCATAATCAGTTGGGCCATGTGGGCTCTTATTATGAAAGTGGGCTCATCAAGAGATGTGATAATGATAGGAATCACAACCAAAAGATGGAAGATGAAGGTGCAAAAGATCAAAATACAGACCAATGCCACCATTAATGTGCCATTTAGTAAGTTTATTATTATTTTTATTTTTTTAATAAAAATAAAAACATGTTTGATATACGTGATTCAATTCAACACGAAAAGAGTGGCTAAAGGTGGTAGTCAAAGTTGATTGCCAAAGGTAATTAATGATGAGTGGTGGTTAGAGGAGGTTGTCCGGGATGAAGTAGTGAAAAATTGTTTGCAAAATAAGTGAACAAACGTTTATTTTGGTTACCAGAATTTAATAAACTTTGGAAGATTATATAAATTTTTGAAAATGAAAATAGACACCAAACGAGTTTTGTTTACAATTTTCAGAACTTTTTTGAAAACATAAACAAAAAATTGTAAACGTAAACATTATCAAACGGGTTATATATTCAAAATTTGGATACCTTTTAAGCACATAGCGTTTCTGTTTTCAAAATGTTAAGAAAGATTGCTATGGCTTTTCTCTTATCTCAAATCATTTCTCTACCACATACTCAAAACTATAAACTATTATGAGTAGAGAGTAATAGTTTTTACACCGCACGATCAAAGCTGGAGAGACTAATTCGTGGTAGAGAGATAGTAACAGGAGAAATCTAAGGGCTGTGCTAAAAAATGAGCCAATAACAAGCAATTATAAGTGACTGAAATGGAAAGACAGTAAGCCATTAGAACTAACAGTTGATGATATAGGAGGACTAATTGAAAACCACAAATGCTTGAAAGCAATGAAATTTCTTTCACCATATAAAGTGTACTGCAGACAAGATATACATAAGCCATTGAAGATGGTCTACTCTGCATATGTATATATACTACACTGGCTCCAAAACAACAAGAGTGCTGTAAAGTGTTGTTGACACAAGGCTTTTTCTGTAAAAAGAAGAAGAAAGAATGAAGAAGCAAAAGAACGAAGAAGTAGAAGAAGAAGAAATATCACAATGAGCCACACTGGCATAGATGAAAACCGGGAATAGGGGGGGCAGGGGAGGTCTTCAAACCATCCCATGCAAGCACAACTTTTTTCTTACACAAACAACCAACACTCAAGTGATATAGTGAACATTCATCCCCAATAAAATGGCACTTACCATTTTTGTCAATAAACACCAATTCATGGACAGCTGCAAAGTCTCTTTCAAGTTCGTGAAAAAAAGCAGAATGATACCCGGAAAAAAAAAAGCAGCAATTATCATTTACACCAAATCTCAAACTCATATATATATATAAATAAATAAATCAAAAATAAAAACCTTCAATTCTAACTGCTCAAGGTTCAAAGTACCAAGAATAAAAGAAGTTAGGTCTAGGATCCAAACTTCTACTTCCTAGTTAGTTTCATTCGTTGCAGAAATGGAGAATATCTAATGTAAATGTGAATCATATGCATTCTATGTTTTTCTCATCGTTCCATTCTCAACATCTCACCAGTTCTCAATGTCCAACAGATCCAGATAAGATTCCCACCGTTCTATACAAAACATTACTTGCACATTTCCAATATTCTAAATTTAAAAAATAAATAAAATAAAAAAACAAAGGCAACATCCTTTAACAATGAAGCATAACACCTACAAGAAAACAGCATGCACTTTCTATGAAGCAAACAAAACATTTGGCAAACACGAGTGTAAGAGCAAATAACAAACATGAAGTGCATGGAAAGCATGTGAGATCAACAAATTAAATTACACAAGGCACAATATGATTCAGATAGCAGATCTGACTGATATTAAAAATGGTATGAAATTTTTTTTTATGAAACAGTTTGTAAATCAGTTTATTCTGAAACTATGTATAATTCTAATGTAAACTCTGCTTACAGGAAAATTTAGAATCTATGATGTAGTATGGATTTGAACATTGGCAAGAAGTCTTGTGAGCTTGCTCAGAGTTTCACGAGCAGATACGGTATCCGGATGATCCTCTCCACAGATTGAAGTTCTTATGAATATCGCCTTCCTAATCAGATCATCCCCTATGTCATACTGTCCTCCTCTTAGCATTAGCTTTGCTCTTGTTTCTAGCATGGTGGCTCTTGAAAGTGCTAGGTCTTGCCAAAGGCAAGGATTCAACTGGGCATTTGTTTGGATCGGTTTCCAACAAAGTGATTTATCCAACCACTTCTCAACTGGTATGACAAACGCTTGATCCGCAGCTTCCAATGCATTTGTGCATAAGCGAAGGAGTTCTAGAGCAGCACTGCACCGCGAGAATGTAATGAACGTCCTGATAGCCAGCGGTAAAATCACTTCTTTTACAAGAAATAACAATTCTGACGCCTTCAATTCAACGACTATAGGGTCGTTCCCGAATCCAAATAGCAGAAAGCACGCTGCCCATATATGTTCAAAGTGGTGGGAAATTGATCCGCGGCTAATGACAGCCTGTACCATAGCTTGTGAGACTCCAGTAACTCCTCTCTTTCGCACATAATGCTTGATGAGTTCGTTGACCTGGATATGCCCTTCCTTCTTACAGCTTCTAGCAATATTGAACCTCAACAACATTGACGATGCTTCGGCTTCTGATTTTCTACTGTATGATGATGAAAACCCACAAGTTATGGAATGCAAAAACTTTTTCCATAACCGGGTATGGCGGTGTTTCTCAGGCATCTTTTGAGCAGCCAGAGCTAACAGAGAAACTGGAATGGCTGTCGGAGCAAACCAACCACTTGCTTGTACCATTTTAGTTGCTAAACTCCTTGGTCCATCGGCATGGTCAAATATTGAGAAACAAACCTCGAAGAGTTGCAAAAGGAAGTTATTTTTCTGCAATGCATGACTTTCCCTACTACTCCCGGTTAAGTCCCTTGAAGGCATTCGGTTAATGGTATCCAAGAGTCTACTTGGATTTATGGGAAGATCGGATAGAATTGCTCCTATGATGGCAATGCCTAGGGTTAGTCTTCCAAGTTTTTCCTCAATAACCCGAAGAGCATCAATCTCTGCAATTGGGTAATCATTGACACTCCCTTGCATTAAAAACATTGCCTCAACCCCAGATAGGTAAGAAAGTTTTAAAGGCTCCATATTCATTACACGAGGGAGACGAGTGGATATTAAAATGTGGCTTTGTCCACCAAAACGGGGAAGAAGATCCATTACAAGTTTGTGGTCCCACCAGTCCTTTTCGCTCTCTAAATTATCGATCACCACCAAAAATGGAATGTTTCGCATAAGCTCCTTCCGAACTCTGGCTACTGCTGACTCTTCTTGCTCTTCAAAACTCTTGATCCTGCTTTTCTCCAAACCACTGTCTATCCCCACATCAACCTCTAGGAATGGCCAAAGATTCAAATAATTCTGACGTATATATCTGCTCTCTCCTCCTACCCATAAAACCATCTTATACCTCTGGTGATATCTGTATGCAAACTCGAGAAGCAACTCAGTCTTACCAATTCCAGGCTCTCCCGACACACAAGCAATCCCTTTCCCATACACAACATTAATTGCTCTTCTCCTCTTTCCATGCCTTCCACTATTCTTTAGCTTTGGTGTTTGGTGTTGCGTTTGAGAAAATTCGGTGTTTTGCATCTGTATTTCCTTATCTGATTCTTTCCATTGTACAGGTTCTTTTCCCTTCCTTCTACCACTCTCCAACTGTCGTTCTCTCCTCCTTTCCTCCATTGAAATTGCTCCTTCCCCAACCAATCATCACACTCTTTCGCTTGTGTCGGGACTTGAAGTTCAAATATTCTCTTTCGGCATCTCCACTAACATCACCAAAAAGCATAAACTCGAGCTCAGAGAATTCCTTTTTCCTACCAATGAAATTCTCATTTTGAGGGAAAGGGAACTCTTCTTTCTCCACCTTGTCCTTCCATTTGGTTAGTCTATCCACAACACTTCTCCTTCCTAATCTCAATGCCAAAAGGGTAACAGCCCGAAGTATGCAATCTCGCCAATTACCATCATGCCCCTCCAATTTCCACTCATCAACACGAGAGAGGGCGCTAACTGCATTTTTCCATTCCTTCTCCAATCCTCCGTATAGAAGCCAAAGTTCCCCCCCATATTTTTCCCACAATTCCCCCCTTCTCTCAACTATATCCCTCACAAGGCAATCATCGGGACCCAAATCAAAGTATATTGGAACCAAATTCTTCTTGCCTGAAAAGAACAATAGCTCCTCGATAGTATATGGATTCCTGAAAGATTTCCGAGTTAAGATTACAACTCCAAAAGTACAAGCATCCATAGCCCTCTCAACAATTCCATGTTTACGAGAGCTTCGACACCGAGCTCTGTCCGTTACGAAACAACTGACCCCTTGAACTTCCAACTCTGCACGAAGCCAATTAGTAAATCTCAGTAATAAAGGTTTACGGCCATGAAAGCCTATATAAACATCACAGCTCCTCAGTCTGGTAGTCGAAAAGGAAGTTGAAGTTGGAGTATATGAGGCCTCATGGAATTTCCCGATCCTTCTCTGTTTTTCTCTGCACCTGAAATAATCATTGCCACAGCTTACACCATAACAAGAAAGAGTACTGTTGGAAATGGTGGGTGATGAAGAAACATGGTCAAACTTTCGAAAATCACTGGAAGTAGATGCTGCTGGGATAGATGAAACCTCGGGTGATGGAAATCTGATATTTCTTAGAGATTCTGGGTCGGGAATCTCCGAACTGGTATTTAGGGGATCGACACCTGTATTAGTACCATCGCCTGAAATGTCAGCACGTGTCGGTATTTCACAAGTCGGAGATCTTGGAGAGAAAAAGGGAGATTGATTCGCCGAAAAGAATGCTGACGAGGAAGATGACAAAGTCCTTAATGTCACGCCACGTAACGAACCAAATCTGGAACTTTCTTCAAGAGGATCCATATTTATACTATCACTGGTTATTTATGGCATAATATCCCATGCATTCTACATGTGGAGAGCTTCTCTGCAATGCAAGAGAAAGTTTTGTTCAGTCACTTAATACCCAAAATAGGATTAAAGAAATCTTAATATCAGAAATTGAATGCTCAATCATGTAACATTAAAACAACATTAATTTTATGTAAGAAAGAAATTCATCATAAGTATCATGCCATACAATCAGTAAGGCAAATTTGTGGGTAGCCCACAATTCCCCACCACCACCCCCCCCCCCCCCCCTCCCTTTTCAATGTACTTCTGTCACTAAAGTTGAAACTTTTACCAACAATCATCAACAAGGCAAAATACTACAAGAATTGCAAAAATAAATAAATAAATAAATAAAAGTAACAAATAAAAATAAAAATAAAAAATGAAAGACTTGAGCATTAAAAATGCAGAATGTCTATTAAAAAGAAGCACTAACTAAAAAAACTCTATCTAAAAACAGAAATAAATGCTAATAAAATTTGAGGTTCTGAGAATTGATTATGTACTTTTTTCTTTTATGTTTTCATTTTCCGAAAGTTTGGCGAATTGTTTCCGAAAACTGTGTTTCTGAACATTATTACGAAAACAACTCAAATGCTTCTATGATCTATGCAAACACATACAAAAACAAAGAGACACAAATCATAAAAATCCATAGAGGCCATCAATGGAGCTTGAAACTAGAGTCATTATAGATCTAAATGATCACTTCAAATCACAAAGAATCTTGAAATCTAAAGAACGATTCCCCAAATTAAATACAATAAACTAACAGGATTTTAAATGAATTCAGATCTGGAGACTTACTTGCTCCACAATCACGAAGTTCCAATCTTTTTTACTTCTCTGAAATCAAGAATTGAAGCAACCCATATCTCTGATTAGAGTCCAGAATCTAGAAAACACTGTTCATCAAACTACCAACGAAGATAAACACATACATATATCGATGAAGTTAGAATGGGTTGGAAAGAGACCCGTTTTGGAAAAGAGAGACAAAAAGAGTAAAGATTTTGACTGAAAGTGAAGGAAAAGGAAAATGGGTTTACCTTTTTCAGAAAATGCAAAAGCTGTTTGATGAGAGAGAGTCCACACCTACTAAAAAAACCCAACTCCTTGCTCTGTTCCTCTCTCTCTCTCTCTAGAGTAGAGTAGAGTAGAGTGAGAGGTAAGAGGGGAGAGAGAGAGAGAGAGAGAGGTGTCTGAGAAATTGAGAGAATTTTTGGAAGAGTGACAGTGACAGGGAAAAGGAGGAGCACCGATGGAGGCGGGATATATGGGTCCCAAAAATACAGATACAGAGGACGGATCTGACGAGGATATGGTGTTCCTGCTTCCTGTTGGGTCTCTTCCACAGCCAACCCCACCCTTTTTTTCTTTTTAATTTTTTTTTAAACACCGATTTACGTATACATCATTTGATTAAGGTTAAGTTTGACAATTTTAAAATAATTTAATTTTTTATTTTTTTATTTTTTTTTTATCATATTAGTTCTCTATTTTTTTACATATTTTTTTTATAAAAATATAAAAAATATATTTATTTAGGTCATTTCAAATAATTCCTAAAAATAAATCATTCACGTCTGGATTATATGTTTGGGTTATGGTTTGAAATATATTTGTAGAAGAAAATTTTTAAAAACATATTACGGGTGTTTGGAAAGTTGTAATTTTAGTAATTTATTTTAGTATTTGACTATTTTAGTAAGTTAAAATTTTTGTATTTAGGAAGGTGATTGGATTTTTTTGTAGTTGGATGTAATGTTTGTGAGAGAAAAATTGAAATGATTATGAATTTGATGTGATGTTTTGTCTTATTAACTATTTTAGTCCAAGTTTGGCATGTGTTCAAAAAGTCAAAAAGTTACTCAAAAAGTTAAAAAGTTATCACTATTTACCAAAAGTCAAAAAGTACGGTTGCACAACTCTCAATCCTAATTTTTTCCTACACACTAATTTATACAATTTTTTAATACACATTTTTTCATAAAAAGTCAAAAAATTAATCCAAACAACCATATTTTTTCCCTCAACTTTTTAGTCCAAAAAGTCAAAAAGTATAATTATTTAAGACATTCCAAACAACCCCTTAGTCAAAAAGCTAAAAACCTTCTTCCCAATGGTTATAAACTTTTTTTTAAAAAAATTTAAAATTACTTCTCTCTATTACACATCAATTAATTACTTTTTCTCTCTCTTCTTTCATTCTCAATCACTTATGTTTGGTTTGGTTTTGAGAGATAAATTTTCAAAAAAAATTTGGAGAAAGAGTTTAGAAATTTTTTTGGTTTGTTTTGTTGTATATTTTGAAAATAGTTTTGGAGTATCGGAGTTTTGATTGATTTGATATTTTATTATAGTTGAGTAGATGTGTATTACAGAAAAAATAATTGAGATTGGGAGAGGAGAAATAAAAAGTAATTGATTGATGTATAGGAGAGAGAAAATTATTTTGAGATTTTTTTTTTCAAAATCACTTTACCAAAGAAAATTTTAAAAAAATTTCTTCAAAATTTGTTTCTCAAAAACAAACCAAAAAAGACCTTTTTATCTCACACACATCTATTCAATTATAACAAAATATCAAATCATTACAAACTTCAAAACTCCAAAACTCTTTTCAAAATATACAACTAAACAAACCAAAAAAAAATTCTAAACCTTCTTCCCCAATTTTTTTTTAAATTTTTTTTCTCAAAATACAAACTAAACACACTTAAAATGTTATATAAATAAAAAAAATTATACATAATGATATAGTGCTTTATTATGAATTTTTTATTTTAAGATAAAACACTATTAAAGATGAATTTATTTAGTCATTATTTGACATAATTTATAAAAGTGTAGTTTTTTAATCTTTTTTTAGTTATGTTATTTTTATATTTTTTTCATATCTTTTTATAAAAAGTCAAAAAATATACTCATTTAGATCATTCCAAACTTTCTCTTATAATAATGATAATGTTACATCATTTTTGTTAAATTTTTATCATAAATTTTAGGAAAATGTTTGAGGGTCACAATTTTTGTGGCTCAAATAGCTCAAAATTGCCAAAACGACGTCGTTTTAACAATTTTGAAGTTGTTTTGTACTCAAAACGACGCTGTTTTGGCAATTTCGAGCCATTTGAGCCACAAAAATTGTGGCCCTCAATCATTGCTGTAAATTTTATGTATGTTTAAAATTTTCATTACAAAAAATACTTACTCACAATCCACCTAAGGAATCAAATTCTGAATAATTATTCAATAATAATTCATACCACTAAAAAAAAATCACTAATAGCACTAATGCATTAGGAATGTCAAAAAAAACAAAAAAAACAAAAAAGAGTTCACTGTCACATCATTAGAGCACCTCCAACCCATCCTTCAAAACTTCAAATATGAAGGATCCTTCCTAATTTTGAGCTCCAACCCATCCTTTATTTCTTCCTCCCAAATGAAGGAAGATGGATTGATCCTTCAAATATGAAGGGAGGATGAACAAAATGAAGGAGACTCTAAAATACTATTCACTCTATATTTCTTATTATATTCGAAATAACTTTTAATGTGTAAATTTAATTTTTATAAAATTGATATCAATAAAAAGTATGAAATCATACCTTTAAAATAAGTATAATATTAAATATATTTTACAAAAATTTTAAAATTAAATATTTATTAATAAACAAAAATTACTTTTTGATTGGAGTTTGAATGAAGGAAATGAAGGTTTATGGTTGGAGTTTGAATGAATAGTGACCTTCTCTATATTTATACTTTTTGAATAAAAAATATTATTTCCATTCTCTTGAAAAGAGGATGTGATTGGAGATACTCTTAGTGATGCTATTAAAGCACTACTTTTAATACTCTCAACCATTTTTCATAATTATTTAGGAATCATACCTACCAACTAATGACAATCAATAGGAATATCCCATCCCCAGTCCACAATTTATTAGATGTAATTTTTGTAGTTTTTTTTTATTTATATTTATTTTTTTAATTTTTTTTTTATATACTCATATTTGCTTTAATAACTTATTTTAAAAACAAATAAGTGTGACAGTTTGACAAGCAGTGGTACTGAAATGGTCAAAGCTAAGGTTAGAAGTGATTATCGATTATTAGAAATGACTTTGAGTTAAAAAAGGTAGCGGATTGTGACTGTTGTTAGGAGGAGGTGATTGGTGGTAATTGGTGATGAGTCAGAGCCTCTCCTGGCAAGTTTGTGCTTGCGTTCGTTCTTGCAAGTTTTTGGGTCTATTTTTAGGCTCAATTTTGATAATTCGAACCGTTTATATTTTATGATTTATTCAGTATATCATACCTGTAAAAAATCAAGTTGATCGGATATCAGAAAGTATGTGTTTGAAAAATTAAACTAAACATTATTTTTAAAGAATTTAATAAACAGTTTTCCGAACATATGCTTTCTGATATCCGATCAACTTGATTTTTTACAGGTATGACATACTGAATAAATCATAAAATATGAACGGTTCGGATTATCAAAATTGGGCCTAAAAGTAGACCCGAAGGCCTGCAAGGACGGGCGCAAGCACAGAAGCTGCAAGGAGAGGATCCTCACTCAATTTGTGATGGCCAAAAGTAGTTGATATTTGAAGATGATTGTTGACAGTCAAAGATAGTAGTCGGCTGCTAGATGTGATAACCATAAATGATAGAAAAGTGTGATTTTTGTCAAAAAGTATTAGCTAGATGCGGTGCGCGATGGTGGTGAATGGTGACCGCAAAGAGTGACAAAAGAAATGGGTCAGTTATTTATTTATTTTTTAAATAAATGAAATTAAAATTTTGTGATTATAAGAATTTAGTAAAATATGTAAATTGTTTACTAATTTTAAAAATGAAAATAAACAACACACGAATTTATGTTTGTAATTTTCAGTTTTTTTTGTAACTATAAATATAAATAATACCCAATAGATACTTAGCACTTGGCTAACATCAAGTTTATTATTAGGGTTTCACTACTATAAGTCAATTTATTAGTTAATTAATTATGGATTGTTTTGAAAAATTAGTTAAAAGTTAATTATTTATTTATTTTTTATTTTTTTAAAAGAATATATAAAAAATAAAGAAATAATATGATTCAAAATAAATTAAAAGTTAAAAAAAAAAAAAATTAACCCTCTTTCTTAAAAAAAGGTATATATGCTAATAAATAGGTTAAGCTTACTTGCAAAGAAAAGTTGGTAGGTATTCCATTTAAATATCTCTAGTGATGGTAATGGGAATGAAGTTGGGGACCTCTACCTAACCCTATCCCTATTTATGAATATTGTTCCATATTTGATCCTACTCACTAGACCCATCCCTCAGCCCACCTCACTAATACTAAAAATGTGATTTCTTAGCATATGATGACAATTGATTTGTAAGATTCAAAGTATATAAACTCAAAAGTTAATCGACATTATTCGATATTTATATAGAAGAGAAGTGATATGTACAAAAAATTATAAAAAGTAACAAGATTTCAATTTAAACTCACACTTCATAAAAATAATAATAAAAATTTAGGCTAACACCCAGGCTTGTTTTGGCAATTTGCTAACATAGCAAAAAAAACTCAAAAAAAATTAATACCAAGAAAGTTAATTTTTCTCTTTATTTTTTTGATATAAGAAGTCAAAAAATAATTAATTTTGAAAACAGCACTTAAAACAATACCATATTCACTGTTAAGTTGTACATACATAAGAAGATGTAGCTCTAATCATTAGAAAATCAAAAACAGAAAAGAGTAAAAAGAACATGTCACTGTTGAAAGATTATAATGGGGGAACACAAGGGTCAAGTTGTCTTGACTGCATTATTAGGAACAAAGCACACTACTGTTTCTGCATCTTGAATTTCAAACACATCTCTCTCTCCTCTCTCTAGAAATTATATGGATGTAATAAGATAACACATCCCTATCTACCCAAAGGACTGTTCAGTTGACTTTTATTGAGTCTGATACTTATGATTTTGGATCCTTTCAACAATAGTCCAAAACTCTCTTTTGTTACAGCATGAGAGCACATGCCCGCATGTGAGACCATACATATAAATGGATTACTCTCATTTTTTCACACACATATGTCGTGAATATTAGTGTTTATTAATTTAGAAAATAAGTGAGTGCTTCAATACACAATGTAATTATACCATCTCCAATTGTAGATAACAAATTATTATTTTTTTTACTCATAGATGCCAAATGTAGACACCATTTATGAAACACTAATTATATGTTTTATCATCTATTTCGTATCTATTATATATTATCATGTCATCAAAATTAACAATTAAAAAAATATAAGAT